TTAGATAGTTTGAAGGCCTGGAATCTACCAAAATATTTAATAAGAAATTGTATGTCTTCTGTGCCATTTGGGCCGAAGCGTTATTGATGTATATTAAGTATTGAAACTGTTATATCTCATTGTATATCATTGAATCAAATCATTGATTGCTATGGAAAGCTTGTTGCATGATTCACATATGCCTTTGTTGTTCCTTGTTCCTCTTTGCTTCTGCCATATTGAAGTATATATATGACATAACGTTATATTGTATCTATTATTGAGCTCACTAAGCGTCACCGCTTATCCCTCTCAGTGTTTAACCATTGCAGGTAATAAGGAACCAGTATAGACATATAATGTTAGAAGATTTTGAATAATTTTAAAACTATTAGTTTTGTATTTAGTACTCATGTATTTATAAAACTATAGTATCCTAGGTAGTTATGTAATATATAACACCTTGTAATAGTCGATTTGTATCCAATCATTTGTAATCAAACTATCAATGTAAAATATTTTTTTATAAATATGTATGTAGCATGTTTTGGAGTAATATAATATAATTTTAAGTTTCATATGAAAGTGTGGGTCTTTCATAGGTGGTGGTGGTCGTTGGTGATGGGTGGTGGTTGTGGGGGTAACAGAGGTGGGTGTTGGTCATGGGTGGTGGAGGCGGGTGGTGATGGGTGGTGGAGGTGGTTGGTGGTCATGGCGGGCAGTTGTGGTGGTCGGTGGTGATGAGTGGTGGTGGTGGGAGGTGAGTGGTAGTGAAAGCGGGTGGTGGTGATATGTGGTGGGTGGTGATGATGGGTGGTGGGTGGTGGTTGGTTGTAATGGCAAGTAGTGGTCATAATGGTTGGTAGTGGGTGAGTGGTGATAGGTGGTGGTGGTAGTTGGCGGGTTGTGGTGATCGGTGATTAAGGTGGGTGGGGGTGGTGGAGGTAGGTGGTGATGGTGGTGGCGGGTGGTGGTTTTGGTAGTTTATAGGTTGTGGTGGTGTTAGTAGATGGTGATGGTGGTGACATGTGCTAGTTGTGGTAGGTGGTGATTTTGGTAAATGGTGATAGTTGGTGGTGGTGGTGATAGATTGAGGTGGGTGGGGATGGTGGAGGTAGGTGGTGATTGTTACGGCGGATGGTGGTTTTGGTGGGTGACGGATAGGTGTGGTGGTAGCAGGTGGTGGTGGAGGTGGGTGTTGGTGATGATTTGTTGTGGTCGGTAGTGATGAGTGGTGGTGCATGGTGGTGGTTGTGGTGGTTGGTGGTGGTAGTGGAGGTGGTGGTGGTAGTGGAGGTGGTGGTAGGTAGTAGGTAGTCGTGATGGGTGGTGAGTGGCTTTGGTTAGTGGATTTTTTTAATTATTTGTACCAATTGATTGATTTTTATGAATATTATTTTATAGTTTTAATTAAAAAAAATTATGTAGTCTCAATTTGTTTTCAAATGTTCTCGCAACAAGAAATGTTCTCGATTGAACGCTCACACACACACAAATATATATATATATATATATATATATATATATATATATATATATATATATATATATATATATATATATATATAACCTTAATGTAACTAGAATTTTTTCATTTTTATCTTAAAATATATCTCTTAATTTTTATCTGTTTATGTCTTAATTTTTTAAATAATCAAATTTACTAAATGTTCTGCATTTAATTATTATCTCTTTAAATAATAAAAACATATTTAAATACTTTGGACTTTTGGCTATTTGATTACAATTGAAGTAACAAAAACCAATAAAAATTCATACTATCTCTATCCTAAAATTATTGTCCAAAGACAAAAAAAAAAAATACACAAATTATAGAAGCATTAATTACCACTAACTTTATATATATATATATATATATATATATATATATATATATATATATATATATATACTAGATGAATTCCCGTGCGTTGCGCAGCGAAGATTAAAAATATATTGTTAAAATATTAAAAAATATATGTTTAAAATGGTTATGTAATTGACATTAACTTTGAGATAATATTTTTACACTAATTTATATATATATATATATATATATATATATATATATATATATATATATATATATATATATATATATATATTATTTTGAACAATAATATTCATTGACATCAACCTACATTCCACATTAATAATATTAAATATAATGATCTATTTAGTATTATTTTTAACAATTATTATTATTTATTAATTATATTTTTACTTATGCGATCATTTTTCTAATTTCAATAATGATGTTAATTTAAAATACAATTTATTTATAGCTAAATGTAATTTATAATTTGATGTTATTATCATTTAAAATTGTTATTCATTAATTTTAAACAACTTATTATTAATAATAAGTTAAAGAAGTACTTTTAAGAAACAAATAATATTGTTATTAAAGTGTGAAACATACACTAAATAATAAAGTGAGAAGATAGATAATTTGTATCTCAAAAGAGACTTGCATCGATAATATGACATACCCATGTAATTTGATTTTATTATTTATAATTATTGCTTATTAATTTTAAAACCATTTGTTATTATTAATAATTGAAAGAAACTTTTAAAAAATACTTATTATTATAATTAAAATGTTAAACATATACTAATATATAAAGTAATTAGATAGGCAATTTGCATTAAAAAAAACGGCTTACATAGATAATGGATAATATGACATATCCATGATTTTTAGTTAATTATTGTTTTGAAGCAACATGAACATACAAATATGTATACAATAGTTAATTAAACATTATATATATCACATTCATAACATATGATCGATAACATAAATCTAATCTAATTTACATTAAAATTTTAACCACAACATACAATGATATTTTTAAAAGAATACTTAAATCAAGAAAATACAAAAAAGAATTACTATATAAAAAATTTACAAATTAAAATTTCAACATAATAACATGGCACAAAAAATTGTTCAAAGCCCTCAAGCCAACACAAAAAATTTTAAACTTGTTTTCTTTGTGAATTTTGTATGTGATTTGTATTTGTGTGTTTACTCAAAAAGATTGACCTTTTTATAGTAGAGTATCTATTAATTGTTTATTAAATATATCATATAGGTTATAAAACCTTTGAATTGTTAATTATTATTAAGAGAATTTTGAGTGATATTCATTAAAATAGGAAGTTTCAAATGCATGAGGTTCAAGGAAAAATGCTTGCTTTATAAGTATATATGATATATATATATATATATATATATATATATATATATATATATATATATATATATATATATATATATATATATATTTATCATAAAGTGACAGTTTTATCTTTACTTTGTATTTAATGTCCATTAAATGTTTAATTGGTTAAATAATAATATGGGATATTTTAGTAAAAATGTTACTTATTTTTAGGGCAAAAAAAAGATGGACTATAATTTTGAGACGGAGAAAAGTAATATTTATTCCGTTTAAGTCCAAGGTAGTCTTGAAATCAGAATACACGAATCTTATAGTACATGAATATTATAATCCAATTGACATTAGTCAAAATTCATTATCCCAATTTCACTCTTTGATTATAACTACTATTCAAATATAAGTATTATCCCAATTTCACTCTTTGATTATAACTACTATTCAAATATAAGTATTATCCCAATTTCACTCTTTGAATATATCTACTATTCAGAAATACCTGAATTGTTCAATTGTATAATGAAATTAAGTGGATGAAAAGACAAGGTTTTCAAATTATGGTTAGTAGGGTGGTGGTTCTGTAGAATCAAAATCAAAATTATTTTTAGTGGATGTGTTGTAAGAGCTAGTGTTGTTTGGAGAGTTGTTTGTAATCAATGGAAAAGAACTTGAGATGAAAGTAGTTGAGAGTTTGTTTTTAAAGTATACTAAACTGATACATATTTTAAATATATGTCCGTGTTAGAACAACAAATTGGTTCGTGTTTTTTATCATTTTCTTGTGCCCTCTTTTTGCAATGGATTGTGGGCATGGGCAGATATCCAAAGCATAAACATACGGGGGAGGTGCCCAAACGCTTTGAAATTGTGTATATTTAATCATAGAATAAAGTTGGATCAATTTTCTTTTTAAAGAGGTAGCCCTCAACCTTTTGGTGTTGGTTTACTGAAAAAGTAAATTAAACAAGCAACAATTAAACTCGATTAATTCATTTATTGCCTCCATTTGGTTCTAAACATGCAAGTCAGCAAAATTCGTAGGAAAAAATACTATTATTTAAATTCGTAGCAAAATTCCTATGGTTTGGGGTAATTTGCACGTTTGGTCCCTAACTTATTTTTTTAACTCGGAAGGTCCCTACTGTTTGCTTTTATTACGTGTTTGGTCCCTACTGTTTGTTTTTGTTACGCGCTTGGTCCCTATCTTACCTAAAAATACTATTATTTAAATAGGAAAAAATGGTGGGGTAGGTAAGTTAAGGTGAAGGGGGTGGGGTTGGGAATGTGTTTATCTAAATACATTAAAAAATCAAGGGCAAAATAGTCTTTTTTATCTAAAACAGGGACCTAACGCGTAACAAAAACAAACAGTAGGGACCTTCCGAGTTAAAAAAATAAGTTGGGGATCAAACATGCAAATTACCCTAAACCATAGGAACCATTCGTGTAATTTACTCAAAGGAGAAATAATTCAGTATTCCTCATCCTTCTCCATGAAGGCTTGAACGCATTACAAATGGATAGCAAAGAAGCAATAAAATATACATGGTTTATTGTTTTCATTCTATCGGGGTTTTTTTGGAACGTAAAAAGGTTTGGTTTTCCCGTTACATAATAGGAAATAAAGTGATGATTAAACAAATAGAAAAGGGAATAAACGTTTGAGCATTGTAGAACTTTTACAGTGTTACTTCTTGTATATAAATCTTTTGCAAAGATTAAAACTTCCATATTCTTTGATAATATATATATATATATATATATATATATATATATATATATATATATATATATATATATATATATATATATATATATATATATATATAATATATTTTTTTGGTTAAACTCAAACCATCGGAACTAAATGGAAGTTGTGATTGGAGGTTCGGAAGCAGACATTAGGCTTCATAATTTCATCCCCAGATCGCTCTCTGATGCTCTATCTGGTGCCCTTACCTGTATCTTCACCTTTTGTAAGTTATTACTTGGTTATGGTAAATGATATTTTTCTTGTATACTTGGATTGTTTGACTGGTTGTCATAAAGTTGGTTAACTCTTGATTTTAAGTACCTTTTTTTTATTCATTGATTGATTTTTGCAAACTTAAGAAAATGATAATTGAGTTTAGGATTTTCTAATCATTTTGGGTATGGAATTATGATTAGCTTGATGCTGAATTGATAATCCTTTATGAGCTTTAATCTTGGAATTTTAGCTCACCTCCTTTTTAATTGCAGCATTTTCTATGCCATATTTCTTAATGTAGTTTGGATTGTTTCTGGTTTAACCAAAGAATTCATTTTTGTTTCTGATTAACTACTCACACTTTTTTTTTTTAAAAGATCAGTGTGACGGGATATAAGTTATTTCATGTAAGCCATAAAACATTAAATTCTATAAAAGCTAGTTTATTTTGCAGTTGGAGCGTTGGCGGGTGCTATCACGGGTGCTGTGGCAGGTAGAACTTCTGATTGTGGGGCCTTCCGTGGAGCTGGACTCGGTGCTCTTGCTGGGGCTGTTCTTTCTATGGAGATTTTGGAGACTTTATGTGTTTTTTCGCGTCAAGGACTTGCTGGCATACCGAACTCCTCAAGGGTTAGTTCACATCTAAGTAATTCACACTAGATGTATAAAACTCATAACACTGAATTGCAAAATCAGTAACATAAAACATACACACACAAACATACAGTTATACAGTTATAGACATTAAAATTGAAAGCTAAAGGTTTTTTAATCTAGGTGGATGCTACTACTACCAAAAAGATTATGGGTAGTAGTATATTGTCTAAAATTACCAAATAAATAAATAAAATAAAATAAAATAAAATAAAAAACTATAATGTACTGCAAACTTTTGAGAAATGTAAACGAGCCCAGCGAAAAGGAGCCAAGCTTTACGCTAATGGAGCTAGAGCTTGGCTTGCAAAATGTTATAAAAACACTCGTCAAAACCTCACTAAAGCTCGTTTAATTATGTAAGTTTTTTTCCCCATATTTAATGATATAAAAATATAATATATAATTATATAAATAAAAAACAAACTCTGAGCCATAGGGCTGTTTGGCAGCAACTGAATTTTTAAGATCTGAATTTTTAAAAGATCTGAATTTCTAAGAGGATCTGAATTTTTAAGATCTGAATTTCTAACATGTTGTTTGGTTGGAACCTCTAAATTATTGTGCCGAATAATAAAAATGACTATGTTACTTTTCTGTATTATTTTTTGTTAAATTCAATGTTTCTATTTAGAAAGTAATTTAACAAACTTCTTGAATAATTGTGAAAATTAACTTGACGATTATGTACTTCAAAATAAAAATATGCTCAAGCTCTTACCTAGCCAATTAATGGTACAATGCTTTTGAAATAAATACATGTTCATACACCCCTAATTTGTTATGACATGAACATTACATTGCTAATACACATCCATATTACAAAGATTCACAAGGGCCGAAGGAAGCCAATTCTTCAAAGCCTAAATTCAAAATTGATAACAAAGTCAAATTTTAAGTATTTACGTTTGCAATTTATTTAAATAGAATAGTGAAAAGCCCAAATTCAAATCATATTTTTTACTTTAGCTTCCCGGATCAAAATATACCCCTAAACACTGACACCCATCCAATATCATTTTCACCTTGTATAAGTATCGACGACACCTAAGCTGCAGTGTTGCACCAAAATAAGACGTTTAAGAAACTACTAATCAAACATAACCATAACCATCTAAATTAGCAATAAACTTTAAGCACATCTCCATAATAGCAACAAAGTACATAACTGATCAAATTGGTTCAAATATAATAATAAAACATCAGCCAACAAACTCAATAATGGGTTGAACAGTCTGAGCAAGTAAACTCAATAATTATCAGGAATGCTTCTTGTTCTTCAGTAAATGATTTGCAAACATTATATACGATTTTACTAGTGCAAAATACATCACTTACAACAATTTTGGTCAATCCAGTTGTTAGGAATAAATCCGAAATGACCAATGCGGAATATCAAGAACAATCAAGAATCAATCTCCACAATATGCAAGAAATCTGATAAAAGTTTTTCATGTATTGATCATGAGATGAATGTATCGGTCCAATTCGGTTCCTATATATATATATATATATATATATATATATATATATATATATATATATATATATATATATATATATATATATATATGTGTGTGTGTGTATTTGCAAGTTCACTTCTTCACTATCGCTTCACTACAACTTTCTAATGTCGATTCCAACTCCAAATCATTACAGAACATCTAATTGATTCCAATGCAGAAGAGTATCGACATCACTACAGAACATCACTACAACTTTCTAATGTCGACACCAATTGATTCCAATTGTGAATCATAAACGATCAAACGAAGTCATTATTTTAAAGCTTGAAAACGAACAAAAGCGTTGACTTGCGAACCAATCAGTTAGACAATCAATTATGAGTGAGCCTGTAGATGCATATGAGAACGCGAACCTAATTCAATTGATCAGGGACTGAAAGCTAATCAAGTTCGCTTCAAATCCAATTACACAACCAAAAGCGAAAGCAACCGAACGTTCGCCTATGAACAGTAGATTCAGGTTCGGTTCTTGTGTTCGGTTCTTAATCCCGAGTTTCGCTTCTTGACAGACACTTTTGCTTCTTGTTTGACAATTCCATTGCAAAGAATGAGACTTTCGCTTCTAGGCCCGAGTTTCGCTTGTGAGTAGATGAAGTTCGTCTCTTGATGATTATCTCCGATTCCCACCTGTGAATTTGACGTCAATTTACTGGAACGCTCAATTGTAAATGAGTTTCACATCAAGTTATGAAATTGGTCCTCAGAGAATTAGCTAAGAATCGGTTATTGTCCAATATTTCGAAAGTAGCCCTATTTGTCTTAAATTGCGAAAGTAACAATATATTTCTTCAAAGTGGCAAATCTGACCCTCCTTGATGATGTGAACTGATAGCTTGTGCCATGTTTGCTGAAATGGTGAAATGGGTCAGGTGGCAGCCTCTTTTTTTTCAGAAAATGCCACTTTTCACCCACTTTTCACATTTTCATACTTTTGGCATTTCCAACAATTAAAAGTCAATGGAAATTGATTTCTTCAACACAATATCATATATTTGAATCAAATCCACCAAATTTCATCAAGTTTTTGTTCCTTTTTTTTTATTTATTTATTTTTTTTTTTATTTTTTATAATCAAGGACAAAACCTTTTATTGGACTTTTGGTACCCATTTAAGGTTCAACATAGAAGTTTGTTTTTTGCATACCCACTTATTTGAAGAAAATATATCATCCTCTGGAAATAATACCCGCTTCTTAGTTGGAAAACAAAAATTCCCAAAATATTCATTAAACCAACCGAACACTATTTTCTCTTTTCTCCAACTCTTAACATATTCACCTGAATGAAATTTTCTTTAAACATTATTGACTTCAGCCTTTTCAACTTTTTTACAAGCATTGGGTACTTGTACCTTGGGCATCCAAACATTCTTTATTTTCCTCTTGTTCTTCTTCATCTTCTTCCTTTTCTGGTTTCTAGGCTTCATAAACGAATTGCAAATCTGATCAACCTTTTCACTATTCTGAATTTGAACATTAGAAGACCTTTGAGCACAATCCTTAGGAGTTTGATAAACCTGATTTTCTTAAATCATTGGCTTTCTGTAAGGAATCATTCCTTCAAAAACAACTTCAGAACATAAAGAATCATCTGTTTGAGTTCCAATAGAACAGAATGTCTTCACTTTCACGATTTCAAATGAATTTCTTTGAGATTCATCTTCTGAAGTACCAGATTTGGAATGTAACTCTTCTAAAAAACATGAACCACTTGACTACCCCTCAACAAGAACATCTGGAGTCACTTTTTCTTCAGAAAGTTGAAGAACAACATGAACTTCTTCTTTTTCTTTTTCAGCTCTTTTCATCTTCAACATCTGTTTATGTTCTCGATTTAAATGTCCATATATAATCTGAAAATTTTCTACTATTCTCTTATTCTCTCTTAACTCTTGGTAATTAATAGATGAGTATCTAGATATTTTCTTATCAACAAAAAGATTATACTACTCAGGAATATCATTCAACATAGATTGACCACTGATTTGAAACATGCTCACTTTGTTAACACCATAGATTGGTTTAGTAACCTTTAATCCAAGTTCTAAAATGGAGTCAAACAATAAATTCTTTTTATCCATTAGATCTTCAACAAATGACAAAACTTGTAGAGAGAGAGAAGGTAGATCTGATAAAGATACTAGAGAGAGAAAACGGATATGAGAAGGTTTCTAATGAGAGAAAATAGATCTGAGATGGTTTTTAGAAAGAAAAAGTGGATATGAACATGAAAAGTCAAGTAAACATGAAATTTTCTTCTAATTCTCTTTCAGAACACAAAAATTAAGAACAAATCATATGATAGAATGGGTAGAAGATAACAGATCTGAACAAGATTTGGCAATAAAACGAAGTAGTAGACTTTTTCTTTTCAGAAAACTTACAAAACTTGAAGAACAAGGTGAGATTCAAGATAAAATTTCACCATAAACAAGATCGATTCTTGGAAAAATCGTTGAGATCTACAAGAATCCGTTCTCATCCCACTTGTTAGGAATAAATCCGATATGACGAATGCAGAATATCAAGAACAATCAAGAATCAATCACCACAATATGCAAGAATTTTGATAAAGGTTTTTCATGTATTGATTATGAGATGAACGTATAGAGAAAACTCTAATCTGGTCAAAAGCTTACACAAAAAGTAAACCTAATGATTATTTATAGGGAACAATAAATATATGCCATAAATATAAAATATATGTTTAATATAAAACCAATACCTTAGAAGAGCTCGATTAAGAACTTCTACTATAAAGGCACCGTAGGGAATCATAAAATGATTAACCCTAAAAAGGCTTCCATAAATAACCAAATATGCCAAATCAGTTTCAATATCTCAAATAATCAACACCAATTTAACAAAAGGCGTATCACCATCTCAATTGATCATATGATTTACATCACTTTGCAAGAAAACACCTCAATCAGATCAAAACTATATTTTGATTCCGAGTATACACTTGCTATCATAGTTCATAACAATAAATACTAATATGACTTGAAATATTCATATGGAAATGGTGGGTCTGGCCGATTAGGGCTTAGTCGTGGGGCTGGCTAATAAACAATATCTCATGTGGTGATTGATTTACAATTCCAAAAAAGCGAGATGAATTGAAAACCCTAAAATTCTACACAACACCTAGTGTGATATCCAAAAATAGTGGGGCAAGCCGATCGTCCGATTAGGTGGAGGGATTGCGCTCCAACGATGGTCTAATTAGGGATGTGAGTCGTTGGAGGAGATGGTGACGAGTAGGCGATGGAGGTTAGCAGGCGTCGGAGAGGGGTTGCAGGGAATAGGAGTCATGAGAAATAGAAAGATACGAGGGAGCATAGGGGTAAAAAAAATACGCTTCGATGAGGGAGCTGGAGGGCTTCGTTGTCAGAGATGATCTAGAAGATGACATCTCTGGAAGAGTTGGTGCTTGGAGTGGATGACCGCAGAAGATGGTGGAGGGTTGCAATTGGAGTTTCAGTGGGAAGCGAAGTTTGTGAATAAGAAAGAGTTGTGAGAAGGAGATAAAGTATTTGTGAAAAAAAGGAACATACGTTCCTTTTATTTTTTTCAGACATGTGAAATATCCCAAATTTTTCGTTTTTAACACATCATTAAGACCATCATTTCATTACCAGAGTATAATATCATAAACTATGTGGTTCAAAATCTCACAATATCCATCACACATTAAATCTCATGTCAAATGTCATATCAAAATATTAGAGTAAAACTCCCAGGATGAAGACTGTAGTGTGTGCCATGCGATCATTCCATGCCCTTCCCTTTGCTAGTAGAAGTACCTGAAACCAAAACTGAAAACTGTAAGCACGAAGCTTAGTGACCTCCCCCTAAGCTACCACATACGATACAATAATAAATAAAGCAAATATTAGGCCTTTCCCAATGCATCAGACCAAAGTACGAACTAACTAAGGCATCGCCCACTGCATCAGACCGAAGTCCGGAATAACTAGGGCCTTGCTCGCTGCATCGGACCGAAGTCTGTACTAACTAGGGCGTCGCCCACTGCATCAGACCGAAGTCCGGAATAACTAGGGCCTTGCCCGCTGCATCGGACCGAAGTTTGGACTAACTAGGGCCTCGCCCACTGCATCGGATCGAAGTCCGGAATAACTAGGGCCTTACCCGCTGAATCGGACCAAAGTCCGGAATAAACTAAACATAGCATAAACATGATCGTAACATATAACATAATCACATATACATGCATGAATCACAAAGACATCAAGCATACAATCTACTTCTCGGGACTACCCCGACTCAGACCCAAGTCCAGAACTACTATCATCTAAACGGACTGACATTTTGGCCGTAGACGGGCTCCTACTAAAAGGAAACCCACGTCGTGTAGCCGACTATAAATCTCGTGGCGAGGAATATGTAACTGCCTCGGCGTCCCTACGGTTATCAAAACACAATAATACATAGTGAATATCTGTAACTCCTTCCTAGGGTAAAATGACCATTTTACCCTTTAATCAAAGTCAACGCTCTTGTCATGGTCCAGACAAGGTCAATCCCAGTTAAGTCAATTTGTGGTCCTCTTAGTCAACTCGTCGAGTTCTGCCTGAAATGATCATCGTGACATTTCGACTCTACTCATCGAGTCCCTCCTTGGACTCGTTGAGTGCTTTTGCTTCCTAGTCTGATTCTTGTTTAACAGTCATCTCCTTCCTCTTACCAATTCAACTCTCAACTTACTAATAGGGGAAAATTTGGGTTCACGACCCGACTCGTGGAGTCCGATGAGCTACTCGTCGAGTCCTTTGCATGTCCTCACCATACAGTTGATCTTAAATGATTTCAATTCATCAAAAACATAGATCTAGACTCCTAGAGCTTGCATAACACGTAAAGTTGCCAAATTTACGTGTATGCATTGAGATATGAAGCTAAAACATCAAACTAAGCTAGAAATGAATGTCTAAATCATGGAATGAAGCCATAGTTGGGTAAAGCTACCCACTCAAAGCTCCTAAAGCTCATAAATTCCCAGATCTGGAGTCCTTTTCGTCCTCAAAGGATCAAAGTTCGGATTGGCCTAGGAAATGGCCCAAATGACAAAAATCTAAGCTAAGAAGCGGATCTATCTAAAGAATGCTCTAGGTATAGAATTGTTACCTTCTATCAGTTGCCAAACAGAAGTAGAGGCTAGATCTACACTTCCTTCCTTGCTCCTTTCTCTCAAACCTTCAAGATGCACTCCAATGGAACTTAATCTTCACAAAACTCAAGAAATGATGTTGGGTGGTTAGGGTTTCGGTTCTGGACTATGGAGGCTGTAATTGAGAGTCTAAAGAGGAGAATAGAATGCTTAAATAGGGTACCAAGTCCTGAAAATTAGGGTTTCTCAACCTAGACCTGACTCGTCGAGTTAGTTCCCCTGACTCGCCGAGTCGGCCACTTATTCTGCGACACGAAACTTGCTCTGACTCGTCTAGTTCTTCCTTGGACTCGATGAGTTAACTCACTGATTTTGGGTTCTCCTTTACTTTTCTTGGTCTACTGGATTAGGGGTGTTACAACATGTCTTTAGATCTGAAAGTTTAAGGGGTAGATTATAAATTAAGACGCATAAAATCATAAGCAACCAAACAGTCTACATCTGAAAAATTAAGACCTTGCCTCTTAATTTTTCAATTAGGAGGCTACCAAACAGGGCCTTAATCTAAGATCAAGCTTGGCTCGAGCTCTTTTAAGCTTGTCTTGTTTTGAGGTTTTAACGATCCAAGCTCGAGCAACTCACATGTTGCTTGGCGCATTTACATCAATACCTAAACAGTAGAAGCTACACTCTACATACTATTGCATTCATTTGTCTTGCTTTTATTTTTTAGAAAATATAATCCATATGGGACTATTGGATAAGATGTGTGCACTTTTAGTTGATGAAATATACAACTTTTTCTTTTCTTATTCGTTCTACTGCTAGATTAATCTAGGATTATTTTTTATTCACTGCTTATAGGTGAATTTTATGGAGGAGCTTCTTCGTGGAAGGTTATCAGAGCTACATTTTCTACCTGAAGTCTTAACAACAAATCACTTACAGGTAAATATTTGGAATAAAAAGCTAACAAATCATGTAATTAACAATCGTATATTCCAAACATTATCAAACTTTTGTAGCAGGTAAGTGTGCGTCTTGTTGAAGTAGCTTACAAAGGGTTGTCAGAGGATTCATTAAGATGCTTGCCATGGCACCGGATGTCAGATGAAATTAAACCGATTCAAGCCATCTGTTGCCCAATATGTTTGGAGGTTACATTTCTCCTGAATATTGTACATCACAAATTCATAGATTTATTAGATATACATCACAAAGCTTAAAGTTTTATTCAATATACATCTCAAAGTTTAAAGCTATATTTCATCTATATCCTAAACTAGTACATCAACTAGCATCATATTTGCCTTAATACACCAACATGAAGTATATGATTGACTATGGAAGGATATCCAAGTAGGTGAAATTGCTCGTAGTTTGCCTCACTGTCAACACATGTTTCACCTGACTTGTGTGGATAAGTGGTTCACTCGACATTGCTCATGCCCCACCTGCCGACAACATGTATGAGATTTTGTTCGAGGTGACAACACTATTGAAAGTTATATAGTTATCACGAGAGTATCATAAAAGGACTTGTTCTTGTTATATTTTATGTTATGTAGTATTTTGTGCAGATTGTAATAATAAAAGGGTCAAGTTGAAGTTTTGCTAAAGTAAATGCAATGCAACTTGTTTCTTACAAAGTACAAGTGACACACGGACCATATGTGGGTCGGATTATTAGGTTTGGTATTGGTTTTATCCATATTTGATATGATACTTTACTTGGTGTATTTAATGTGTTATTGTGTTCATTTTGGTTCATATTCACCGATACAGTTTGTAACTCTCATTCTTTTCTCTCGTGTTGTTCCTACAGATTAGAATTTCAATATTTATTATATTTGTGTTTAATAGAGTATGTGATGTTTTTTAGTTTTTGTTCAAAGTCTTTATATTAAATCTTTGAGTGCATTGTAAGTTTCGTGAAAACCATCTGGTTCTTAATAAAAAGGGATTGTATATGTTAAATTTTCTTAGCTTTCTTAATATGGTATCAGAGCAAGGATTAGTTCTTTTTTGCATATAGATTGTGCCTTGAGTTTGTTCTTCTCTATATCGAGTTAGTAATTGGTCTACGTTTTATATTTAAATCTTGTTAATCCGCGTCAATCTATGTAGGTCTATTTAAATTAGTGTTGTCTATGTATTTTTTGGTCTCCTGTGTTTGATCTTGGTTGATCATTCTTGATCTATGTGGTTTTTTGGTCATTGGTTCTTGTTTTGAGGGTTTTTCATTTAGTTTGGGGTTTCTCATCCATCCTTTTAATTGATCAATCATAGTTCTTTGTTAAACACCGTCATACTTTGAAGAGTTGATGTTAGGGTCAACTGTTACGTTATCTCTAACGAACAATGTTTTGTTCACAATCAATCGCAAGAGTGTGCAAACGGTGCAATCTAATTGTTTATGGTGGCTGTTAGGACAAGATTTTTGGTTTATACTTTACTTTTGATAGATTTTAGAGTTCTTGGTCTAGGACCGAAAACACCATTATTTTGTTTGTGTTTTGACCAAAATACCATGCGATTTTGGTGGGCTTAATGAGGATTTCGGTTGGGTTGTAGGTTAGGCCTTTGTAATTAGGTCTAGGTATATATATATATATATATATATATATATATATATATATATATATATATATATATATATATATATATATTTATACCTTAAAAGGTATTTACCACATTTTGCTGAATTTGAAGAGGTACAAAGGTTTATGCAATATGTACGATAATTTTATGCATCAAAATCTTATGCAGTCAAATAAAAGAAAAAGTCAGACGGACCTTTGAATTGGTATTCCACGTGAATCGGTCAACCTTTTAATTAGTATTCCACATGAATCGGTCAACACCAACTGCCCTTTATATTAACATCCCCTCTCTCAGTGTTAGGTCAGAACTCGCATGTAAACACCGAAAACCAATAACCACCATCGTCGGATCATTCACTCACCGCTATCTTCCTTCTCTCACTGAAAAGTAGAAGCCCTAATGAAAAACCCATTGACCACCACCACCAGGTCCTCTAGTCTCTCTCTCTAATTTGATTTCATTAGATTTCATGTTCGATTTCTTCGTTTTCATTGTCGGCCTCCTCTCTTGCATCATCGATTCAGGTAACGACCTGAAGCATGTTTCAATCTTCATCAATTGGTGGGGTTTTTTCTTTTTCTATTAAAGATTTCAATTTATGCTTCTTGTATTTACTATCTACAACATGGAAATCACACCTCTAGTTTTCTTTTTCTTCCTTTTGGTATTGGTTGATTCTTGAATAACATTTGGATTTCTTTTCATTTTTCCAGAATAAATATGGGGATCAATCATGGCTCGATTTCTTTTCATGATACTCTTACCAATTGTAGGTTTAGGCTTTCTTTCAAACATTTGGTTCATGTGTTCTACCACTAAAACGCCTCAATCGGAGAAAAAACAAGGTAATTCCACCATCTCTTTCCTTTATATGTATTTCAAACCCTAATATGTGTCTACCACATCTTTCATGAACATTCAACACAAGGTAAAAAAAATATAATTTATGGCAATGAATCACTATAAAAATCTGTCAAGAATGTTCAGACATATGAAGAAGAATTAGTCTCTGTACTTGAACACCATCACACCGCCACCCAACTCAAATGCCATCACTGACCATCATTCCTCTCCTTTCAATTTCCAGGTTTGAGCTTTTCCTTTTTATTCATGAATAACATCAATTGATGTTAAAAGTAATTTTTTGTATGGACTTTTCTATAATTTTGTGTTATGGAGCACTATATAACTTTTTCTAATGTTGATGTTTTGATGCACTTTCGTGGTAGGAAAAATGACAAGAGCAAAGATAATACCACACTTGATAATTAGAAGGTGAGTTTTTTTTACCTTTTACTGTCTGATGGTTTTGATTATACTGTTATTTGAAATTTTTGGAAGTCTATTTATTTATCTACTAGACTCTTATGATGAGCAACCCATTATATGGGGTAAATACGGTAAATTAGACTACTTTTTTTTGGTAATTTTAATACGGGTTTTAGTGGTTTGGATAAATTATATTTTTTTAATTAAGAATTGGGTTATGTGAATTGGTTTTCTGAGTGCAAATCCATCCTATACAATTAACTAATCTTTTTGAATGTTACATTAGAGTACATGAATGCAGCAAATCGAGGTTTATTAGGAATTCCAGTTGGTTAGTATTTATTCAGATAAATAAATCTACACAATTTAAGAAACTATTTCATATATATATATATATATATATATATATATATATATATATATATATATATATATATATATATATATATATATGACTTCCATACAATCGACAATTCAAGGTTTCTTTTTGTTGATAAACTAAAAACAACACCACTCAACCACCATTAAAGCTTTGTTTCTTCAATTAAGATGCTTGGGATATGTTAATTTGTTTTCACAATACCACAATGCTCTTATTTGTTCTAGTTTATACTTCCAAAATATGCTATAAAATTAACTAATCACTGGATCCTTGTGTTTTTATTTTAGAACAACCTTTAAGTATTTTGAGTCTTGTAGCATTTACGATGTCAGGGGAAACGAAGCAAGAAAATGTAATCAATATTGTAACAGGTTTTCTTTCTTTAATTTACCAAAATAAAATCTGTATATAAGAGAAGGAAGATCAATAAGATTGTTTTTTTCATACTTACTATTTTTTGCTAAATCTGGTAAAAATGGTATTGATGCTCAACAAAATCACATCTTTATATTCAAATCTTCTTAACCCTCAAAGGGTAAAAATGGCATACATAGAAAAATATAAATTAGAGGATTTATGGTCTGTTATTGATATAATTTTATATGTGTACATGAAGGTGTGTTTTTATTTTTCTTATTCAAGCATTATAATTTTGAAAGTACAATGCTATAATTTGGTATACTTTGCAAACAATCATCTAATTATAACATTGTAATTTCAAAGTGCAATGCTTTAATAAGAATTATATATTTGGTATAGTCTTAATCTAGAAATTCATTCCTTTTCTTTCTCACTAACAACATTCAATAGGTTTCTTCAGTGTAGGTTAAGCCTCCAATCAAGTACATAAGAATTTATAGAAAAAATTCAAAAACAATTGTTCAGGTGCTCTTCCACTTTAACATGCTTTTTGAAGATGGTTTATGGTTTTCACCTGATATTGTTTAGTCTGCATCTTCCTCATACTTTACCATGCATTTGTAACCTAAAACTTGAATTCAAGTCCTTAAACATGTTTTATCCATTCATTTAGATTTTAATTTAGAGTTTAAACATGATGTTGATGTTTTGTAGGGTTGGAATGTGTGATTGTTCATTTCCAATCGGATTTGAAATCCAATTGTGATCATAAACATTTCCCATATCCCTTTACATGAGAAAGGAGATGATTAGGAAAATGGGAAAAGAAGTTGAAATTGAAATTGTAGTTGGTGGAAAGTAGACACATATTTAATATTTTGTTTTGGTGTTTGTAGTCCAAATAATTTGTATTATGTAAGAAAATTGGTTGCTAAATTCAAGATGGGGGTAATTCTACAATTATGTTTATTAGAATTTATTGTATGTATTTTATTATATATATATATATATATATATATATATATATATATATATATATATATATATATATATATATATATATATATATAAAGTGATGAAGGTGATTTTACTCAAATTCAAGATTATTAACTTCAAGATGAAAACCACTTCATCTTTTTTCATTGTTATTTGACTTATTTTCAGAGATCCAATTTCAATTTTTTTAAAGACAATGAAATACATCGTTGTCAAACTGACATTAGTTCAACGGTATCTACAAATAACTTAAAATATACTACTGTCTATAGTTTGAGTATTTTTGTTATTTAAGAAACAACCAAAACTTTAATCTTAAAAATATGTATTTGATTTTAAATCTATTTTTAAAACTTATAATCCACATGAAATTTTGTGTTTTGTTCTGATTGGTGTATTCAATTTGTATTTAAATATGTTAAAACATTCACTTGTGTGAATTTGAGAAACAATTGGAGTATAGACATTGGTGTTTTTAATTATGTATCCAAAAGTTTCCAAATATACTTTTATTTATAAAAAAATCATTAATTTGATCAATGAATGATAAAATTTAGTCTAAGCTAAACAATACTATTTGCATTGAAATTAAATCGCTCAGTTCTAAAGCTCAATTAAACTATTAAGTTGATGAGTATTACTTCAGTTAAAGTAGATATAAGATTTATCACTTTTAAGATAAATCATAATTAATTATATGTTGTACAAATTATAAAGTATTGGGTATGAGTCAACAATGTGAGTATATGACAAAATCTATCGGATATTTTACCCACAATTAAGAAAGTGAGAGATATCAT